TAGTCCTTAAATCTAAGAAGTTAAAAACTTGTATGTAACCAGTCTTATAAAAATTCCATTGATTAAAATCTGCACCAATACTGGAAGAAATTTCAGATTCCATTCACTTCAACAGAAATTTTTTTTAAAGTGGTATTCCTCGTGTTTTCAGTGGGAATTTAAAAAGGGGATCTAGTCATTTCTGACAACTCATTTAATCCAGCATGTTTTTAGTTAGTTATGTAGTTTAACTATCTTAGACTATCTTTTATATTAAACAGCTGATAAAGAAGACTATTAACAATGTCAGAAGAATGGCTTCCCATCCATCCCTACCTTATTGTAAGTTTATTATATTAACAGATGTTGTTTTACAATACTTAGATAACTATCCTTGTTTCTCAATACGTATTACTAATTTATGACTGCAACAGTATATTAAACATTTTAGAAAGCACATATGCTGTATGAAATTTCTATATAATGAAGCCATCACTATTTTTAAAAAGTTGAAATATGGGCCTTCAAAACCTATTTTACATAGTACAAGTTGGGAATTGAATCCTGTTTCACCTACAATATGCAGTAAAACAAATAAAGGGTGTCACTGAGTAAATGTAGTGTTTTGACTATTTGATTGTAATTCTTGGAAGTAATGAGGAGACATCTTCACAATGGAATTTAAATAGAGATGGAAATATGGGTTTTCAGCCCATTTAAAGAAGAGGACTGTGCTTTGCTACATGGTAGTGGTTAGTTATGCATACAAATGGGGTCCTGTAGGTGTTACTGTAGTACTATTAAACCTGGTTCCAATAGTAGAAAGTACTTGGAAAGGGTAATTAAAATATATTATTCTGTTACAGACTTGACAGGTGCGCAAGATGGTAGTGTAAGAATGTTTGAATGGGGCCATTCACAACAAATTACATGTTTCCGCTCTGCTGGCAACACAAGGATAACACGAATGAGATTCAATCACCAAGGAAATAAGGTTTATAGAAATTTTCTCTCCCCACATTCTCATTACTTTTTGCAAAAACAGTATAAACCCCTTTCTTTGTTGTTTCACTGTATCAATAAATAACATTATATTCCAACTTAATGCATTACAATATTGGACTCCTTGGACAGCATGAGTCTCAAAAGCCTTGCTTTTCTCGTATTTACTTTTCAAACACTTTGTGGGGGGAGGCAGCATATTTGCTTGAAGTATAAAACAGAATAAATACTCTGGAATACCCCTCATAATTGCAGAATTAGAACACTTGGTTGAGAATAAGGTCTGTTCTAAAAATTAAATGTTTGAAGCTACACATAAAATATATACTAAGCTATATCAGGACTATATACGAGTGGAATATATGTGATGATTTGTTTTAAAAGCTGTAGTGTAAACAGTATTGTTCGAGAACTATTCTGAGGACTGCTGCTTCAATACAACTTTTGAAGTCAAAGAATAGTGAAAGAAAACTTCTAAGGAATAGTTAAGTCTATAATGCCCTGCATTTTCAGCCTACTGGGATGTGAATAGTAATGTGCACCAAAATGTTTCTCTGTAAATCACCCGTTTGGATTCTGCAGACAAACTAAAAGATAGCAAAAAAAAAAAAAAAAAAAAGAGGGGTAGCCATGTTAGTCTGTGTAAGTGTAAAAACAGCAAGCAGTCCTGCGACACCTTAAGATACGTCTACACTGCAGCCATAGCTTGAAAAAAGCTACACAATTTGAGCTATGTTCCTTACTCCTCGTGGAATGAGGTTTACAGGGACATCGGAATAGCGAGCCAATTATATTTCAAAATAATGAGCGTGCTCAAGACACAAAATAGCTATTTCGGGATACCTCCGGTATCCTGAAATACTGCTGCAGTGTAGATGTAGCGTTAGAGACTACAGAATTTATTAGGTCATGAGTTTTAATGTAAACTAGGAACTTTTTACTTTGTACCTGCAGAGTCCAAATGGCGGAGGGAAGGTTACAGTACAGTATTTTGGTGCACATTGCTATTCACGATTCTATATTTCAATCTGTAGGGCACTGTAGAAAAACTCTTGCATCTATTAACAAGTCATCAATTTGGAGGAGGGGCTGTGTGTTTTTTGTTTTGTTTTGGTTTTTTTGCTTTAGCTGCTGCTCCTTTCCATAGCAATGAAATATCATGTGCATTTAAAATCCAAGTTAGCTGGCATGTTGCTTCCATGGACTGTTAGGTTTGGTTCCAGTGCAGCTGTTTTCCAGTTAGATTGGGTACACAATACAATTGTTCCTGGGATGATTAAGTTGCTATTTAATATCTACTGGACTGATGGGGTGGCAATATAATTTCTCCATTTTAAATGCACCTAACAGAATATACATACACGGATATTATACATTTTTAACATACAATATACATTTTCTCTTTTTAGTTTGGGATTGTTGATGCTGATGGATATATATGTTTGTATCAGACAAACTGGAAATGTTGCCCACTTACTGGAAGCACACCCAAACCATATCTGGTAAGCTAAAATGTCAACTTGCAGTGTTCAAATTTACTTCCTACTGTGTAGTCTTCTGGCAGCACCAGGAAAGTTAAGAGTCCACTAGGCTTTTTTCAGCTAAACTTGTCCTGTTTATTTCTATGTGGTTGAAATTTAGCAGTCAGGATCTCCATTCATAATCGTATTTCTTAATTTGGAGAGAGAAAATGCAAAATCAGATTTAAAATGATTTGGTAAACAAATACTATTGGAGGTGTCAAACTTTTGTCAAGAATGTAAGAATATTGGTAAACTGAGTATAGTTAGTCTGAACTCAGAATTCCTTCACTTTCAGTTGATTGAAGTACAACCTTGAATGTACTTTTTATCTTTTAAATAAGCTTTCATGCTATTGTAAAAGCCAGCTTTTTACATTCCTACTTCTTAACTGTTTACTGTTGTTTTCCAGACATGGCAGTGTCACAACAAAACAGCCAACGATTTTGTTTTCATCAGTTCCTCCTCTTTGATAGCCACAGCTGGACAAGCTACTGATAACCGGTAAAAACTTGATTCAAAATCATAGTTAGAGGCTGTTAATTAAATATTACTGGTTTTTAATATTCCTGGCAATTACGTAGTTTGGGAGTTGGGTAATTGAGCATGTTACCTACCAATTTGTGATATGGGCCCATTAAGGCCGTATCCAGACTCAGGGGTTTTTTCGGGAAAAGTAGCATTTTCCCGAAAAAACTTCCCCTGCGTCCAGACTCAAGCCGTGTTCTTTCGAAATTATTTCGAAAGAATGCGGCTTTTCTTTCAATGGCGGTAAACCTCAATTTACGAGGAAGAACGCCTTCTTTCGAAAGTTCCTCTTTCGAAAGAAGGCGTTCCTCAATGTAAAGAGGCCGTCTTCGAAAGAGAGCATCCAGACTCGCTGGGTGCTCTCTTTCGAAAAAGCGGATTTCTCTTTCGAAAGATCCGCCTGCAGTCTAGACGCGATCTTTCGAAAGAGCCTCTTTCGAAAGATGCTTTCGAAAGAGCCTCTTTCGAAAGAAGCCTGCAGTCTAGACATAGCCTAACAGAACAGAAGCCCTTTTATCCATCTTTATAAATATTTCAATAATTGATACCATTTTTATAGATTTGAGGTATTGTCCATGTTTGTACTAGCTCAAAACTTCACCTTAAACCCTTTTTTCCCACATGACCCTGATAGATAAAACAAACCCAGAATGTAAGTATCTCCAACCACAAGAGAAATTAATGTGAATCCTTTGCAAGAACAGAGATGAGTTGGTTGACTATACAAAATTCATGTGCTCACATTATATGTATATCTATAATAAAAAACTAATTGGTGGATAATTAGTCAAGTTTGTAGGGACTGGAATAAGACTTTGGAAGGATGGGAGCAGAGTTCTTTATAACAGAATGTGTTAAAGTTGAATGAACAAGTAATTTTGGATTTGTCCATCAGAACTTGGATTTTTATTCTACTAATGAATTAAGCATGAAACAGTATTGTGTGAAATGTTCAGAAACTGGCTAAACTATTTCAAATATATGAAGTGCATACCTTTTCTCTTCAACCCATGTCAGTTGTCAAGTTAGTTAAATTAAAGTGTCAACATACCTTTTTCTTTTACAGAAATATATGTTTGTGGGATACCTTAGTTGCACCTGCAAATAGTTTAGTACATGGTGAGTAAAAGGACAATAACAAGTGTTGTAAATCAAGTTAAAACTCTTAAATGATAAATAATTCTGGTGTTTTCTTGTAAGATTACATTTTGATGGTCGATAGGGATAATAGTTGTGGGTAGGGATGTAAAATTGTGGGTAAAAAAATAACTTTAACTGCTAAAAATCATAATAGTTACACATGCTGTGGGCTCTGCAGTATAAAGCTTAAATAAATTTTATACTGCAGAGCCTGTAATGAAACCTTCCTTGGAGCAGAGCTGGTCCCACTCCTGGGGAGGCTTACTGCAGGATTTCAGCTATTTAAATCTGAAATGTCATGGTGTTGTAATAGGGTTCCTATCCTAAAAAAGGGATGGAGGGGGCTGGGTTTGCAGTTCTGTTACTCTTATTGCTGCTGACAGTGGCACTGCTTTCAGGGCTGGGCAGCTGGAGAGTGGCAGCTACTGGCCAGGAGCCCTGGCAGAGCCACTGCCGGTAAGAGCACAGAAGTAAGGATGACATGGTACAGTATTGCCATCCTTATGTTGCTCTGCAGCTACTTCTGTGCTGCTGTTGCCAATACACTCCGAACTCTGTGACTGCCCAGCTCTGAAGGCAGCACAGAAATTCAGAAAGCAGTATTGCAAACTTGTCCCTAAAATAACTGTTATCCCCTTGTGTCAGAAACCCAATTTGAAAAACACTAGTCTCCCCTGTGAAATCTGTATAGAATTAGATAAAAGCTAACACCTGACCAGATTTCACAGGGCTAGACCAAATTTCATGCTCCCTGATGCGTTTTTCAAGGCTGTGAATTCGGTAGGGCCCTGCTTATTGAATATCAAGACAATAGCTACTACTGGTCAGTGCACAATGTTGTGCTATAGTTAGTAGAAACCACATGGGCAGCTGAGATCATCTTAAAACTTAAATATATGAAATACAATTATATCCACAATGGTTAGAAAACTACCTTATTCGAGTAACTAGATTCTTGTTGGTCCCTCTAGTAGTAGCTTAAGCTCAGTTAAATTACTGAGTTTCTATATGAGATCATAAGAATTGAAAACCCAGCTACTGTGAATGTTGGTATAAAGATAAGAGTACCGGGACCTTGATATAAGATCAGTTCTGTAGTCGTCCTCCTACACAAATAAATACTGCTTAACACATATTCTTACTAACATTCTGTCCAACTTAACTTAGTACTCAGCATAGAGATACTGTTGCCAACTGACATGTTATATGTGACAATCTGTATGTGAGGAGTATTTTATCATTTTAGAATGTTAATTAATACTATGTAATTTCAAAATATAAACAAGCCATGAAAGATAGCTCAGTGATTGACACGTATGAATTTTGATAGACTTTTAAAGTGCAATGCTACTGTGAATAGTAATACTATAAAAGTTGCATTTGTTACCCCAAATTTCACTGGAGATCACCTGGTTCCACATGTTTAGCCTTGCTGTTTCCCTCACCCCAAACATGCTCCATTCATGCACAGTCTTGTCACGGGGTGGCATGAAGCTTAGTGCAAGTTACAAACAAAGTAGCTAAGCTTTACAAAGATTACAGAGTTGCAAGGCTCAGGGATCACCAAGCTTACAGTAGGTTTCTGAACTTATAAAGCAAAGTGTTTGACCAGTTACAAGTTGCAAAGCTCAACAATCTTACCAAGTGCAGAATATAAGAGGCGAGGTAGCTGAAAGTTACAGAGAAACAATACAAAGCTTCAAAGCTCAGTAGTTACAAAGATACCTTCCAGAGCACAGCACCTGACTGAGACTTAGAAGACAACTGCCCCCCTTAAACAGGATTCACAGAAATGTAGTCAGCAGCAGGTTTTGTCATTCTCTAAGTCATGTGTTGGCAGGACCTTATAGTTTAATGCATTTCCAGAAAATTTGTTTAAATCAAGTAATAGCTCGGGCAACAGCATTGACATATTTGGGTCATTTTTTTTGTACATCTAACTTGCTGAGCTTACATGTACAAATTGTTGAGAAGCACTACCAAAGAATAATGCAGGCCTGCAAAGACAAAATCAGAAACGTGCAACTCAGTTTCTGCCTATCAGTGAGGATAAAAAGCAATAAAAAGAGGTTTTTTAAAAATGCATTGGGAGTAAGAGAAAAACAAAGTGCAGGCGCTCTACCGAAACAAAGAAGACTCAAAAAAATATAGACCTATCGGCCCAATATGGATCCCTGGAAATACATGGGAACAAACTATTAAGCTGTAAATACCTACAAAATAATAAAGTTATAAAGAATAGCCAACATGGGTTTGTCAGGAATAAATCATGCCAAGCCCACCTAATTGTCTTCTTTGATAGGGCCTAACAGATGGATAGGCAGAAAAAAAATGTAATATGTTGATTTTGGAAGAGTTTTAATACAGCCATGTGGCATTCTTGTAAGTAGACTAAGGAAAAGTAATCTAGATGAAATTACTGTCAAGTTGGTGTACAATTTATAGCAGTTATCAATGATTTGTTGAAAAACTGAGAAGGTGAATCTAGTGGGTCCCACATGGGTCAGTACTAGCTCTGGTACTAGTCAATATTTTTATTCATGACTTAGATAAAGAAGTGGATAGTGTGCTTATGAAACTTGTAGATAACACCAAACTGAGAGGTGTACAGGGAGGGTGAAATTACAGTTTAAAATAGCCTTGACAAATTGGTTAATTTGATCTAAAATCAACATGATGAAATTCAATAAATACAAGTGCAAGTACTTAACTTTGGAAAGCAAACTCAAATGCACAGCTACAGGATGGGGGAGCAACTGACTAAGCTGTAGTACTGCTGAGAGTGCTCACAAATTGTGGTTTGCTTGCATCCAGTTTACAAGAGATCCAGATGACTGAATCAGTGACTTGTCCCCTTTGTTATTTATCACCCCTCCCATTTTGTCATCAACAAATGTTATAAGTGATGGTTTTATGCATTTCACTGAAACAGCATAAGGACAAGAACAAATCCCACTCAAAATGAACCCATATAGCAATAGACTAATACTATTGTCCTAATTTTTTACTCAAATATTTTTAAAATTCCTTTTTATTATTAAATCTGTATAAGGTGGTACCATTTAAAATAGCTACTTCTCAAATGGAACCGTTTTCTAAAATCATACTTGCCATATTCTTTTTGAAATATGGGCTATATCTTCATTTTCACATACTATCCAGTCCTATACCCTTTTTAACTATATCTCAGCTGAAATGGTACTTAGCAAAGCATGAGTTCCACATCAACTAGTGGTCCCTTTATATATTCCACTGTGTGCTCATGCCCTCCATGTGACTGACAGAGCAGGATAGTTTTGCTAGCAGTGTCCATTTGTCTGCACTTGTGACCTTCTTGTGCTCCGAACTGAGGGCATAAGGTACAGTGCAGACCTTCTCCAGTTCTTTTCTACCACCTCATGGTCTGAGAGGGAACCTCTCGGTGTTGGTAGCATTTGCTAAGGTCTTCAATGTGTTATATGTAAATAGGGTTTTAAAAACTTTTTGGGTAGCTCCTTAGTGTTTAACTAGTTATGATAATTTTAGGGATGGAGGGAGGTGTCTCTATCCTGTGACTACTGTGCCCAAGAGCCTGCGGTAGAAAGATGTCTCCTAGGCTTTCCCACTCAATGATAACCACCTTAAGTGCCTCAACTGCCTGGTGAAAAATCATGTTCCTTGAAGGGCAGCATTTGATGATTCTTCTGCAGCAGAACTCAAGAAGGCCATTAGGATGCCTTGAAAAATTAATTATGGATTGCACAATGAGGCCTCAGGCTGAGCAGGCCTCTTTGTACACTAGACAGAGGCACTGAGAAGCACACTTCCAGGCATGATGACCTCTTCTTTACACCATCAAAACTGAAATGAGATTCTGTGCTCAGCTTCAGAGGATCAGAAGTTTGCAAGGGTCAAAGTATCCATTTTTCCTGTCTCTAAAGAGCAAGAGTGCTCAGAGATGGGCACCATCTGCAGGAGTGGGGTCTGCCAGAAAAACGACAAAAAAGAAGCCCCAGGCATCTCCTACACCAACAATACTGTCATTATCTGATGAGGAATTACTGGCTTACCCACAGAGTGTAAATTTCTCAAGCTTTGCAGGGGAACAGGGAAGAAGTGTGCCGTAGGGGAAGGGGGAGCATTGTCCACTTCATTCTCCTTCTATCAGAAGTCAGTAATCACACTGTTAGGCAATGGCGCCCATCTAGTCGAGTATTCAACACAAGGCACTTGGCCTCCCAAGAGCCCTGGATCGTACATAAGCTACCTAGCACTGTGTGCAGTTTACTAGGCATGAAAACAATTCCTACTGTACATATAAACCCTACATAGCAGGTGATCTCAGACAACATGACAAGTATTCAACACAAGGCACTTGGCCTCCCAAGAGCCCTGGATCGTACATAAGCTACCTAGCACTGTGTGCAGTTTACTAGGCATGAAAACAATTCCTACTGTACATATAAACCCTACATAGCAGGTGATCTCAGACAACATGACAAGTATTCGAGAAGGTGCCAGTGGGCCGGATTTGGCCCACCAAGCCACTGGATCTGGCCTGCAGCTGCCTTGCCAACACCCTTAAGGCACAGAGTAGCACAAGTTTTAAACAGCTGGCTGCTCTCTGCTCTAGCTATTTAAAACTTATGCTACTGGGGAGCACAAGTGTTTGCCCCTGCCCCCCGGCAAAATCTCTTAGCTCCCATTGGCCAGTTTCCAGCCATAGGAGTTGAGGAATTTTGCTGGGGGCTGGGACAGCGTGTCAAGCCACCCTCCCTCCACCCCTTCCCCCATGCCCAGAGC